GCAATCACTCTCGGCTCTGCAGCTGCCGATGCCAACACCCTCCGCCCCTGCCCTCCTCCAGGCTGAGCAAGCCCCCGGTACCGCAGAAAATGGCAAGGCCGTGTGTTAAGGACTGAAAAAGAGCAGGCACAGGGATGTGGGCACCCACGAGAGAGGTGTCCACGCACCCTGCTGGCGAGCAGGGGTGGGAAGGGACTCCAGGTGGAGGGATCGGCCTGAGCGGAGAGCGCAGGCAAGAGAAAGCCAGGAACCCGGGGCGGCGGCGGGAGGGGGCGGGAGGGGTGTTGGCAGGAAAGTAAATGTTGGGGTGATTTTGAAGTAAAGCTGAAAAATAAGAAGGAATAAGATCCCAAAGGGTTTGAAAGTCATGCCAAGGAATCTTGGACCCTACCCAGGACGACTGGAGGGACGTAGGGGGAGGTACGCGCGACTACATTTGCATTCGAGCAGGATCTTCACTCGGGCTGCGGTGTGAGCATGCGCAGGAGTGGGGCTAAGAGAGCAGTTATCGCAGCAAACGGTGACCGAAGGGCCCAGGGGCTAGGACTCATAGCTAGAGGGGAGACGGGGAGAACCAAACTCAGGAGGAAGTGTGAGCCCCATCAGCCACAGGTCAGGTGACCGAAACCATGTCACCACTAGGATAGGAAACTGTGAGGTCTTTCCTAGCAACCAGAAAGGGACATCTCTTCCCTTCCACCAACATCCATGTCCTCGTGTGCATCTTGTGTATGTAATGTTTGTTTTGAGACACACACACACACACACACACACACACAGATTCATCTTTACTCTCAGTACTGAGCGGAGAACTTCATCCCAAACACCCTTCCACAACCTTAAGCTGACCTGAGCTTCCATGAGCCCCTGTGCCAGGACATGCCCCTTGCCCCAGCACCCCCACCCCGCAGCAAATCACAGTCCTGTCTTAACCCCCATCTAGGATCTGGACTGGTGCCTCCCATCCCCTGGTCTCTCCCTCTTGTCACCGCCCACTCCCCAGCAGGTAGGAAAGTTCGCTTGTCCATTGAGCCAGATTTGTGAAGACTGGCGGGCCCTTTCCACTTAACAGGGTCAGTGTGGTACAATCCCAGTGTGGTTACACTGCCTGGTGCATGGGGACCCTCCAGTGAGTCAGCTTTAGGGACCAACTGATTCTTGCTGGGCATTAAGGGAGGTAGAGAGCCCTGGCTAGGACTTCAACATGGCACAGCCCTGCAGTGGGACATGGGACCATATCTGCTGAGCTCATCGCCAAGCGGCATTTTGACTTCTCATTCATCACACGTACTTGTTATAAGTTCTCTTGGGTAAAACCACGAGATGAACCACAACGGTAGACAGGGACCCTGGGTTTTTGTCACGATGCCACCCTAATACCATCAAAATCTCACCTGCATCTTTGATATGATGGATACAGATACCCTTTCCCAAGGAACAAGGTGAGGCAGTCTAGCAGCTTCATAGAGGTGGAGAGAATCAATCCACATCTTACAACCAATCACCGTTAAGAGAATTGACCCGGATCTTTGGGACAGCAGAGCAGGCAGTGCCCTTAGAATCCTCTTATTCAATCTTGAGGGCCAGAGAAGGGAAGTGACTGCCCAGAGTTGGACACTTGAGTTGACAAGCAGGGGTCCGGAGGATCAAGAAACTTCAGGTCTGGGGGTGTCTGCGCCCTTGGATCCAGATGAATTTTGGAATAATCTTCACTTCTGGCCTCGACAACAGGAGGAAGCTCAGATGGGCTGGGGGATGGGAAGGCAGGAGGCGGGGCCTGGTTGCTGTGGAATCTGATCTGAAAGCAGGCTTTGAGCTCCCGTGGCCAGAGGGTAGAAGCCCAGGACTGTCCAGTTACATTTACACAGGCACTTTGGTGGCACTGTGGTGAGGTTCCAGGTCCCGCAGGCCAAGAGAGCTACTGCAAGGCGTGAGGCTCAGAGTGGGGGCAGGGGAGGTGTCTCCCCGTGGCTGTCAATCCCAGAAAGGCTCAGGGAGTCTGAAGGTGGCAGCTGGGAACACCCACAAACAGCATCTGGGAAGAATTCACTAGAGATTCCACGCTGTGCAGAACGCAGGCTCTCCGGCCTGTTCATGGACAGGGGAGCCAGGGCAGAAGTCCCGTGAGGTTCGAGGCCATGGCCACGTAGAGGCCTCTCTTACTGGGCCAAACACCCACACCCCGTCCCTGTCCTTCTATATTCCTAAAATCAACAGGGCTAGAATTTTAAAATCACTCTCTGTTTGAGGCACCTGGAGTGGTTTTGGTCAAGGATTTCCTATGTGACAGAATGATTTTCCTCCTTCCTCTTCCTCAGTGCTGAAGTGGAACCCAGGGCCTCCTGCATGCCAGGCAAGTGCTCCACCACTGAACTACACCCTCAGCCCTAGAGGCCAGACAGTCTAAGAACTAAGAATATGAGACTAAACAATACTGGAATCGTGGCTGGTTCTGGAAGTCAGTGCCAGAAAGCCATATACAAGGAGGAATTTGGGTTTTGGCCTGACTTCTGTGATAACAGCATCTTGCCCAGTGTGGTGGTGCATACCTATAATCCCAGCGGCTCAGGAGGCTTAGGAAGGAGGATCTCGAGTTCAAAGTGGCCTCAGTAACTCAGTGAGCTTAGCAAGATGCTGTCTCTAAATTTTAAAGAAAGGGCTGGGGATGTGGCTCAGTGGTTAAGTTCCAAAAATAAAACTATTCTTACCTGGGAAAGGGAAAGGATGGGGCTTGTTTTGCAGGGTGGAAGGCGGAGTGAGGAGAGAATCAGAGCGCTCTTTGATGACTTCAGGATAGAGATGACTGAGGCTGAAACTGGCCGGGAGAGGTTTACTGTTTTAATACTGGGTTCTCATGAGGGCAGGCCAGAACGCAATGACTCACCGCTAGATTCAAAGCAAAACTTTAGGGCTGGGGTTGTGGCTCAGCGGTAGAGCACTCACCTGGCACATGCAAGGCCCCGGGTTCACTCCTCAGCACCACATAAAAATAAATAAAATAAAGGTATTGTGTCCAACTACAACTAAAAAATAAATATTAAAAAAAAAAAGCAGAACTATTGTTTGCCACTTTGAATTGGAGAAGGTTGCCGTGCACCCAGGGAAAGGGCAGCAGCGAGCAGGGACAGAGGAGGTGGCTTATGTGTGGCAAGCAGGGTGGGTTACCGAGGTTTCAGGGACCCCTGGGGATTGGGAATTGGGAAGGATTCCGTAGGCCCAGGGAAGGGCCCCTGGGAGTTGGGTGCTTTATAACCCAGGAGGGTCGGAGTCTGGTGCCAAGGAACCAAGTGCTCACAGAGGGGAATTGAGAGTCTTTCATGAGGATCTCAAAACTGGGCCCAGGCAGCTCTTGATAAGAGTGTATATTCCAGGAGGGCAGCAGGAGGGCAGGGGCACGGCTGGGCTGTGACAGAGGCTGAGCTAATGGAGCTTATCGGTGGGTCCTGCCCGCAGGATGTGAGAGAAAGAGAGCTACTGTGAGCGACTATGACGTCAGACACAAGGCTTGGTTTTTCCCATTACCAGAGAAAACAAATAGAGATGCTTGGTGAGAGTCTAAACACTTTTTTTTTTTTTTTTTTGATACTGGGGATTGAACCCAGGGACACTGTCCCACTGAGCCACATCCCCAGCACTTTTTTTTTTTTATATATATTTTTAATTTTGAGTCAGGGTGTTGCTAAGCTGCTTAGGGCCTCACCAAGTGGCTGAGCTGGTCTTAAACTTGCAATCCTCCTGCCTCAGCCTCCTGAGTTGCTGGGATTACAGGTGTGCCCCACCGTCTCAGGCTTAAAATCTTCAAAGAAATGAAGGGCTAAGGAGACGGTAAGAAATCGCTAGGGAAAGTTGGAAAGAAAATATGCAAACCAAGGGAGGAAAGTGATCAATGAAGCCATTTTTGCCCTGAGGACACTGGTCCCCGAAGGATAAAGAGCAGAAACAAATCGTATCAAAAGTAACACCACCCATGCTACAGCGGCCACAAAGAAGAGGATTTGAGCGGAAGGTGAGGCTTCCTGGCAGAACACCTGCCCAGCGTGAGCAAGGCCTGGCTCAGTCCCCAGCATCCAAGGAAGGGAGGAGAACATGGGGAACACCCTGATGCCAATCAGGTTGAAATTTTAGATGAAATGGGGGAATTCCTAGAAAAATACAGCTTGTCAACACAGACCGGAGGGGAGGGCAGGGATGTTACAACCACTTTGGAAAAGAGTTTAGCTTTTTCTAGGAAAGGTGATAACACTACATGACCAGTAATTATAATCCTGGGTATAAACCTCAAACAAATCCATGCATATGTGTCATGAAAATGTATAAGGATATTTTTAGAGCACAGAAACACTGTTAATAATAGCTGAAAATGGAACAACCTAAATATTCACCAAGAGTAGACTGTGCACAATAGCTAGCTGCAAGAGACAATTTTGAATGTTTTACCACAAAGAAACAGTACACGTTGGAGGTGATGGATAGGCTAATTACCCTGAATTGGCCATTACACGGTATACATGTATCAAAACTTCACCCTGGATCCCATAAGTCTGTACAAGTATAATGAGACAATTAAAAAAAGAAGGAGGATTTCTATAATCACAGTGACTTGGGAGGTTGAGGCAGGAGGATCACAAGTTCAAGTCCAGCCTCAGCATTTAGCAAGGCACTAAGAAACTTGGAAAGACCCTGTCTCAAAATAAAAAATAGAAAGGGCTGGGGTTGTGTCTCCATGGTAAAGCACCCCTGGGCTCAATCCCCAGTACCACAAAAAGAAAAGGGCTGAAGATATGGGTCAGTGGTTAGAGACTTGCCTGGCTTGCATAAGACCCTAAATTCAATCTTTGATACAAGAATAGAATGTGGCATAGACATTGCAATGGAATAATATGCAACAATGAAAACACAACAAGCTACAATTATAACAGGACGAGTATTACAAACATAATATTGAAAGGAAGACATAACATAACAAGATGATAAAGAAATAAATGAGTCCATAATATTGATACTTTTGTATAAGTTGTATTTACAGTTGTAGTAAGAAATTTTATCATCATTGCCTCATTTTTATGTGTTGGGGATTGCTTTTTATGATGTTTACAATAAAACTAATTTTATGTCTGATTAGATTTGCAAAAGTTGCTTAAGTACTTAGAAATAATTCGTTTATCATATTCCAAAGTCTCCCTTGTCAGGTGTTTGAAGTGTTTGAATTGGATAAATTAAATTTGCAATTGTAGTTTGAGATATGTAACAGAAGTTGCTTAATGAAATGTTTAAATGGTGTTAAAAAGTTTATGGGAATTTCATCTGTCAAATTTATGACATAATTGAACATGAATCAATAAAGAAGTAAATGTGATCTTGCTTTTTCTACAAAAATTACTAAGTTCATAAATAAAATATCAAGATCCATAAGTTGACAGTAAAAGCAGAACCAAGAGAGCTAGGATGTGCGATCTATAACTGCAAGAAATTAAGTATTGATTGAAATGTAAGTAATTGTATTTATCTTTACTAGCTAAATCCTCGAATCTGAATGGCTTAGCCAAAAAAAAAGAAAAGAAAAGGAAAAAAAGTTGTTCCATAATTAATAGACACATGTTCCCAGCTCGAACCACTTGCCAGGCCCAGGGACCAGGAGGGACGGTGGACATGCTCTCCAGGTGCATCTTGGCTGTTCTCCCAAAGGAATCAGCCTTTTTCTGGATTATTTTTCATATGTTTTTTCCTTGCCTCTGCCAGACACCTGGGGACGCTCCCAGCCCCGTCCAGTCCAGTTCAGATGAGCCCTGGGCATCTCTCACCGATTGATCTACGTGGCTGTTTGCACAGTACGGTTCACCAGGGTACAGAAGGGATAAAAGACATGGAAAGTAGACCCCAGGACACTGCCCCGTCTATACCTGTTTCCTCACCCGCTTTGTCCATGGTCAATTGGAGCTTTTATTATTTAAGGTCCTAGGCCTCAGCCAGAGGGAAGGCAGGGAGGGAAAAGAACTCACACCCAGGGCTGGGACTGTGGCTCAGAGGTAGAGCGCTCACCTAGCATGGTCGGTCGGGACCGGGTTCGATCCTCAGCACCGCATAAAAAAAAAAAAATAAAGGCATTGTGTTGTGTCCATCGACACCTAAAAAATAAAAAAGAACTCACACCCAAGGGCACTTAACTCCCTGCTCTAAGGGATCCGCTGATCCCAATGCAGTGCACCCTAGGAACTTCCCCACCCACCCTTCTGTCCCACCCCGGTAGATCAGCTGACCCTAGGAACTACCTTTCTGCCCCGCCCTAAATGAGGCCTATAAAAGTAAGACGCCCAGAAGATGAGCCTCCTGGGTGTTTGAGTCCCCTGCTGACTAAAGAAGAGCTTGCTGACCCCAGATCGGCTGGAGCCCACCAAAGCTCCTTTGTGTGCACCAGGGAAACTTCCTTGGGTCTTGTCCTGCGATACACCCACACCTGCAAACCTGCCGGTGGGTTGTTCGTTCAGGTGGTTCAAACACAACCAGCAATTGCAAATCGTTTCTATTGATCTCCAGTTAGAATGCTCTACTTTAGGCACAAACCCTTTAAAGTCATCCCATAGGCGTTTCAACGTTTTTAAGCAACTTAAGGTTTCATGGGATAAGAGTTCAGATGGGCGGGAAGCACAGGTCTCCGCCAGGCTTCCCCCAGCACATCTTTAGGGACAGAAATGTCCCTTCTGGGCACAGAGTCCTTCTCAAGAGTGAAGGAATCCTGCCCTTCTCTTTCTCACTGTCACACTTTAACCAGAGTTTTCTGCAGCGCTCCACTTAGCTTAGGTCCAGGAATCCGAATGTGGGAGGAAAATGACTCCACAAGTGTTGGCTGTGACCGTGAAAGGCTGGAACCGGGCATCTGCTTTGGTTGACTTAGGAGGACACTAGGGAGACCTGCCGTCCTCCTCCTGGGCACCGCAGCAGGGGAGAGTGGGGTTTGCGGGGTGGACAGAGGTGCTGAGAGCCCCGGTGCCGACACGCTGGTCTCCGAAGATGCCATCTGGAGATGCCAGTCTCTGCTCCCGACAGGTGGCCTCCATCTTGAAAATGCTCCTGGTTTCTCTTTGGAAAAGTCCAAGACCGTGACTCAGGGTGGAGGGCAATCGGTGCCGTCCCCACAAAGCTCCCAATGCCTGCTCTGGAAAACTCTGCTCCTGGGTCTGAGAAGACCAGCCACAGCTCTGGAAAACTCGCCCTCCCCAGCCGCAGGAGCACTCTCTCCATGACGAGGAAAGACACCCTTCCCAGGACTCCAGAAAATCCCACGTCCAAACAGCCAGAGAACCCTCCCCAGGAGATGGGGAAACCGCTGCCCTCCGCGCCCCTGACTCTGGAGGCCTCGGGCCGGTGATGTCCTGGCAAATGTTGAAGGACGGGCTCCGGCTCCCAGCAGCAGGTGGCGCCTGCTCATTCCCTCGGTGTGCGCACGGACGGGTGGTGGCCGGTTTCCAGGTACCTTCCAGGACCCGCCAGGCTGGCTCCAGGACAGCGGAGTGCTCTGAGCCCTGGCTCTGGAGGCTTCTGAGGTCTCGGGTCTGCAGGACTCCAGGGCCCTGATGTCCACGGCTCTGGGGAAAAAACCAAACCAAACACCACCATGCTGAGCAAAGTGGCAGTGCCACCTGGCCGACTCAGAGGACACCGGGTGCGCACAGGACGCCCCTCCCACTCTGAGCAACACCCACCTAAGCTCCCTGAGGCCTGTCATCAGAGAGGCCCTGCCCCTGCCCTGCCTGGAAACCCTCCCCCTCACCAGGAGGCCACCGTCCTCCCCACGGGACAAACGGGACAGACGGGCTGGGCTCTGAGGAGGCCGGGGAGGCTCCTCTCCTCCCATGAAAGCGTCAGCTCTGACTTTGAGGGCCCTTTCTGACAAATGTCGGAAAAAGCACTTTGTAAAACTAAAAGGCTGCGCCTGGCAGGCCGCGGCTGCTGGGGACGTGTGCGGAATGACGGAGTGGCCCCGGGAGGGCTCCCGAGCGCAGGCCCAGCACGAGCCCCCGAGATCATTCCTACGGTGACTAAACGAGGCAGAGGCGGGGGACGACGGGAAAGCCCATAATTCTCCCTAATGAGGTCTCTTCTCTTCTGAGTTCCCACCAGACGGGGAGCGAAGGGCCTGGCTCTCAGTGGGCATCAATGAACGTTTGATAAATGGGCGGACACGTGGACGGATAAAGGAGGGACCTACAGGTGGATGAGGCTCTGGGTGGACGGGAGGGAAGGCAGGGCTGGAGGGAGCAGCGGACGCCCCTGCCCGCCCAACAGCCGCTTCCCTGCGAACCCCAGTTTCATCAGATCCCTAGCAGCACAGCGGGGGACTGGGACCCTCCTCAGCCAGCACATCCTGAGTCCAGGTGGGCCGGCCCGGTGATACCTTCCCTCGCTAGAGAGTTGTCCAGGAATGGCCGTGGGATGCGATGGTGGCCCAGGGGACACAAGGGGAAGGTTCTGGGTACCCTCCAGGAACACCTTCCTCATTAGAAGAACATAAACAGGATACATTCTCTTTTCTGGCCTTGGATACTGGGTCGTGAGGATGATGTGCACAGACACTGCAGCCATCTTGCCACTATGAGGAAATAAGATAGAGGACAAAAAGCTGATGTCCCAGGTGCCACTCAGCAAACACACACACACACACACACACGCACACATGCACACATGCACACACACACACACACATGCCTACACACACACAGAGAGAAGCTGGGTTTTTAGAACTTGTCATTGAACCACTGAATTAGCCAGTGTGTGCGGGTTGATACATAGACAGATGGATGGACAAATGGATGGATGGGTGGGTGGACAGATGAATGGGTGGACAGATCAATCAGTAGGTGGAGTGAAAAGATTTTCATAGGAATGAAGATAGGAAGGGGGATGGGTAGACACGTGTCAGAACAGTATTTCCCTTCCGTCACCTGGCTGGAAGGGCGTGTGCCCACCTTATCATTTGGGGCAAGGTCTCCC